CTGCGGGTTCGAGTCCTGCGTAAACATGGTCGTTTTTGTGATTGTCCCTTCACCTCTCATCATCGTATCACTTCATAATTCAAGGCTTATAACGTATCATTTAATTAATCCCTTTCAATTAAATGATCAGGCCTAACATCAGATTTACTTTTTGTCTTAGCATTCTTGTTTCTATTAGGAAATGTTTTTAAAAGTTTGTCCTCAACTGAGCACGGTAGTGGTGGTTCGAATAAAGAGATTGAAGTCTCTTCGTTGGCAGCTCACTTATATTTTCTATGTACAAAGGATGCCATACAGCGTATTGTTTCTGAATTATTCTCTTCTTTCCCCTCTTGGCTCTTCAAAGTCGCATTCTTTTCCGTCTCAGACGGGGTTTGTTTATTTTCTTACTTTTTCCTTTCCAAATTCGTCGCCGACTTATCTGGATCCATCCACCTGCCAGGCCTTGCCGTCTGCACTCTTCTGCCAGGCGGTTTTATATTGGTATCACGTTTCCTCCGCACAGCCTCTCGATTGCACAATTCGTCCCCTTGACTCTTGTTTAACATCGAAAATTCTCCAGTTTTTCTTGGAGTGTTAGGTTTCGGGAGTACGTTTTCCCGTGGTTCTGCATGTGAAATATTGTCAAAAGCCATGATTGTTAACGTCCTTTTTTTAAATAAATCGGACACCGGCTTCCAATAGACAGGTGATACCCTTACAGTGTACTTTTTATTTCTGCAGAATTGAGTCAGGTGACCATATCTGAAACACTTAAAACACTGTCTTGGCTTACTAATGTATGAAATGGTTTTAATTCGAAAAATGTACACGTTTGGGTAAAATTGACCCCACGAAAGTAACTAATAATGAAGTTGTGGATAACCACTTATCCTAATCTGACCGTGCCTCTTTTATTTCTCCTATTATTAAGTCTTATTACTTACTACGTTCAATTTCAAGTCCAAGAGTATTTCTTTCATAACACATTTCCTGAAGCCTGGAATAAATGTTTCCATTTCATTACCGGGGAAAATCGTGTCTTTAAAGGCATTATCTGCTTCCTTTTGGCCCCTAAATAATATAATACTCTAATATCTTCCATCCTTTTTAATTTCCACAATAGATTTATATTCACCAATCACTACCTTTCCTAACTTATAAATGTTAAATTCCTTATTACATTGATATTGATGAAAAATATATGAAACAGTAAATATATATGAAGTAATTTTTTATCAAAATATATATCATATTGAGTTGAATATGTACTTAATATGATAAGTGACTATGATACAATAATATTGTCGGTTGATAAAACATCTTTAAATTCTGAAATGTAAATTCTAATTTTACACTGGCTGGTTGTGAGAGTTAGGAGATTGTTTGAATCTTATTCAAATTAATTTCTAAATAAATAGCAACAGAAGGGACTTCTGCAACCGTTTTTAAACTTTCCGGATTTTCATTAGCAATTTTCGAGGTTACGTCCGATGTACTCGCTGGCTGCAGCGTGTTCCTCTTGCACTTGACTGAGACTCATTCGTTTTGTCTTTCCTTCGGAACCTTCCAACCGATCCATTCTCGGTTCTTCTGGATACAATGGGACACAACCAGCTCACCATACACCGGTTGTGCGTTAGACCGGGAACGGAATGTCAACATTATGCGCGAGGTCACAACTGCGCATCGCGCGCGAAGTTTGATTATTCAATAATAGTTCGGTTTATTTCGAAAAATAATTTAACACGCCGTGCGCGAGACGCTGTTTCTTATGCTTGTTTTCCATGTGCGATACAGCTGGTTCTTGCACAGTGTGCGAAATATCTGTAACGATACGCAAACGTCTTTGTTTACACACTGTTACGACACTGGCTGGAATCCATTTACTTTTGTACAAGTAAATTATTTATAGTTATTTGAAATTTAATTTATATTCCCCTACGTAACGCATTGCGTTTCGTTCACGGTGTGTTAAAAAGAATACTCAACACGGGCACGAGGTGATTCCCGCACTCGACTCGTGCGTGATTTATCCGTTTCTTGCCCTTGTTATGTAAACTTATCCTCCCCCCAGTTTGATTGTGGTAATAAATGTGATAAATTTGATTTCTTTTCAATTTTCGTCAAAATTCCATGTGGGTAATTACCCATCTGGAATATTTCTGTGCCGGTAGTACTACCCACCGTACCCACATCTTCCGTGGGCCTTTTAAGAGCTACACAATCGGCTTTGAAAAGCATGATGGTTTGTGTCCATTTGTCGGTTTGTGTCACTACCCAGTGGCCAGAATTGGGAAGGAATAAGGATAAGGTTTTAAGACACTTCACAGGGGTTGGACTAGCCCCCGTGAAGTAGCCCAACTCGTTTTGTGCAACTTTCACATGCGATTGTCCGGGATTCGAACCCGGACCTGCTTGGTGAAAGGCGACCGACTTTGCTCTGAGCAAAGAGCAAAGTTGGTTCCTGAACTCAAGGACACAATAGTACGTTTTCATTTGGCGAAAGAAATGATTCTGATACAATTCGGAAGAAATTAGAAGCAAGCATGCTTGCTTATGTTGTATTTTACAATTTAATTATGGAAGTAAAATTTTAATTTTGTGAAGTTCATTATTTTTGTAGTTTGTACTGTTACTGTGTTTTTCTATAATATCTCCAGTAAACTTTGACATGATTTTTATTATTAGGAATTGGAAGTCGTCCTCTTCATATTCTGGACACAATGTTCAGAATTCATGATTTCTCAAAAAACGTTATACAGAGGTTTCACTGTTCAGTGTTTTGTACATTTGTGTCTAGTAATATACAATGTCTGTTTATTATGTACCTCAGTTTGTATTTATTGGAATCAGTTCAGTATGTTACTTCCAAATGTTTTTCTTACTAGAACAAATGTGTGCAGGTATATGACAACTAAAAGCATAAACTTGAATCTGTGTAAGACACATTAAGTATCTTATATAGTTAAGCCTTTAAGGGTAAGATTTATTAATTTTTTATACCTACTTCATATTTTGTAACTTACTGTATTCTAGAATTGAATAATAAACAACAATATCTGTATTTATTGTTGGAGGAATTTTTGTTGTATAATATTTAGGAACGTGAGATGCCCAGTCAGAGGCAGATTTGGAGGGGGCCGCAGATTTTTGTTAAATAAACATTTGTTATTATATTTGCATACGATTTATGTACTGTGGACATACTATACAAAATTATTGTTTGCAAAATTACATAATTCGAACAAATATCTAAATGAAATGTGCCAAATAAAGGAAGGCAGAAGAAAAACTAGCCCTCTGGGGGAGAGCATAGCCTCCACGCCCTCCCCCTGGATCCGCCAGTGTGCCCAGCAAATGAGACCCTGCCACCAACAAGCAAATAAGGTGAGTATATATTTGGGTCTCAATAAACAGTTCTACTCAACTAACTACCTGAAACTTAACTAAATTAACTTACATAAACAATACGGTGAGATATTCTGAGACCTTTTCCTTCTAATTCCAAAAATAAACATCAAATCACTTCGCAAAATAAATAACACAATGCCACTGAAGAATATGGCTACATGAGCGTTATCTAGAAATTGCTTTTCGACTGGGGGACTCCAGGACTCTGGTTGAACACGAAGATGGGTCTAGCCTTCTGAAAGCAGGGGAGGAAAAGGTGGTAAAATACCAACCAGTCATCCCACTGACAGCCCAACTTCAAGTTAGGGAACCCAGGGGATCCCAAAATGCCTACGTGTTATTTAGTTACCACGACTTTAATTGGTTAGTCTATGCTGTTTATGGATCATATAGAACATTTGTGTACTCAAATCCACGGTGTAAGAATAATTTTCAGCAGAACTTCCCAAACGCAATTCAGACGGGCGTTGACATACGCCCTGGAACCTCCGAGATGACGTCACGCGGAGAAGAGGCGTTTTGCGGGCCCTCGGTACCGAAAAATTGGTTTACCTTGGAACGTCTGACCGACCGTACGTCCGTTTGTGAACAATGCTAGCGGATAAACCGTAGGCAGAACTTTCACCAAAATTAATATTCCCGATCAATCCGGCTGATATAGCTGCACACTTGAACGAGAAACGGATATTCTGATTTTTTAATGTACTCGACACGTAGTCCAAACGATATTTTCAAAATTTTCTCAAAAATGACTCCACATTTTTTCTTTAATTTTTTCTTGACTGGAGCAAAGTGCGCTTGTAGAATAGCGCAGTTCATATTTTCGTTGAATTCTTTGAATTAAGAAAAATTGCAAACATTTAACATATTTTAGAAGCTTTTTATATCTACAATATTGAAGATAAATACTTTTTTGTAATAAAATACGCTCTTCAAAAATAGATCTTTAAATAAAAACATGTACAATTATTTTAAATTATGAGTAGATTTTCATGGTATAAAAGATGTTGTAAAAACAGTTTGTTCTTTTTCAAAACACGGCTCCAATTTTTCTTTAATTTTCGCTTTTAAAAATGGTGCAGGTCCGATTTTTGTTGATCTCTCTGAATTTTCGAAAATCTTTAAAGTTACAAATAATGCGAGTAAGTGTGTGCTGTTATCGTTTATCATAGGTAAATAATTTAATATTTTATTTATTTTATTCTAATAATATTGTCAATTTTCTTGTATTATATTTCCATCCTACGTCACTACTATGGCAAGATAATCTAAATTTCTTACATTATCTTTAAATAAAGTCAACCACTGCTAAAACAATCGTCTTAAAAAATACCGCCAGTTTATTGAACGCTTATTGGTCGAGTGTATGTTCTTAGTCAGTACCCATACCATAAGGATGTCGCCAACTGCACTGAGGCAGGGACGTATACTTAGATTAAAACAAAGTGTCCCTTGATGTCAGGAGGAAAAGAGGGGGCACTATCATCCAATCGTGACATTTATTTCCATAAACATGACAAGTCATAACAAAGCTCGCGATTGGATGAAAGTGTCTCCGTGTACTTCCAGGTGGTGATCTTGAAGGGAAACACTATTTTAATGAGTGTAATACACGCTGCTTTCGAGATTTAACACGCAGTTTGATGCCCCTGGCAGGCAGGTGCAAGGGGGAGGGGCTATCCCACTTTCAGGGTGAAAGTTGCAGCATTTCCTCAGGGAATCGAGGGAAACGGATGAAAAACTTGATGGGGGTGGGTGTCATTGACCCGGTCGTACAATACTTTTGAGAGCAAATGTAGCATTTTAAAATTATATAATACAAGTGGTAATTTTATTATATCATTTTTCATGTTCATGTTTTCTCTTTCGATTGGTCCGCATAGACATGTGTTGATACAGTTATGTAGCAGGAACAGTTATGCGGCAGAAGCAGCTGTTCTTTCGGATATGTAGCACAGTGAATAAAATAGCCTTTGAGATGCATGGATGAGTGACGGGTTATGTAAAGCTTGCTGACGAAATTATAAGAAATCTGTGTGCACAGTTAAAGAAAAAATTTACGTGGCGTATTGTCAGTGATAACAGTCAAAAATAAAAATGGAAAACCTTGAAATTTTACCCGAAAATATTAAAGTAGAAAAGGTGAGCATTTTGTGTTAATTTTGTTGTTGTTTTTTTTTTTTTTGTAAAATCCTGTTTAGCTATCACTTAACTAAAGTCTACTCTGCTATAACACAATAAACGTTTTTGTGGATTTTCAAATGGTTTTCTTTGAGGTTGTTATCACAGGATATGTTTTAGGAGACATTATTTACTTTTCCAGTGTAAATTTGAACCATCACATATCATTCAAATTTGGCATAGAGGGGGATTAATATTTGTTAATATGTATGTAGTTAATCTGATTTATTATATACATTTACAAACTTTCCATTTCCAGGAAGACGAACTCGAGGAAGAAAGTGCGGTGAACAATTCTGTTGTAAGTATTAGTTGTCCAATGTAGGATTGTTGAGGCTTTATTTTAATGGTGGTATAATTCCACTGTCATTCATTTTGAGATGAGTACTTAGGTTAAACTATTTTGAAAAAAACAGGGATGAATTAGACAAACAATTGTGAATATTCTTTTCTTTTAAGACCTTGACTTTTTTGCCTGAAGATTTGGATAAAAATATTGAATGCTTCACAGAATAATGGAAGAGTAAAGAATTTAAATCACCATCAAAATAATTTGGTGAACCAATTTGGCGAATGTACGTCGATCTATTTACTTTCTCGTATATGGATTGTGAAGATGAGTTGTATATTGCTACAAACAAAAAAAGATTTCAAGGTTTTGACAGATACATGATATTGGGGTACTTGACACCAAAAAAGATCTTTAAAAAAAATTAAAAAACCTTTTTAAAAATAGTTTGCCCATTTATTCACTAGAGCATAATAGGATTTCTTAAAAAACTAATATTCTTTATAGGTTGTGATTTATCTTAAGGATCTGTGAATTTGAAACAGGTCATTTAATACAATTTTTTATATCGTCTCAAAAAAGAAAATAAATGAAAAATGAATATATGAAATTCTTTCTTAAATAGAGCATTATATGTTTCTAAGACTCATTAAAAACATTTGGTTTTGTTGAATTTGAACTTTCAAGAATTAAAGAAGTTAAACAGTTTTTAACATCAACATTGAAGTTAATTTTTATAAATGCAGTATTTGCTTCAATGTGAGCACATTAAATGTTTCTTTTTACATTTTATAAAGTAATAGTGATTTTTGCATAGTTTTAAAATGGATTGTTTCAATTTTCAAAAAAATACCCAAACAAAAATTTTTCATTCTACCTCCAATTTTTGCTTCTAAGTTTTTGTGATGTTATTTAAATTTTGAACCCTCAGTGCACCATTAATATGTACATTGACTAATATTTATATTGTATTTTGTAATTTAACTCATATGTAAACATGACAATGTCACACATTCTTTATGAACGTTCTGAAACTCTCAAAAAGTTAAAAGCAAAGTTATAAGAAAAATGGCAATTATTTAAAAGCCCTCAAATTAATTTCTTTAAATAAAGAAGGCTCCAATAATTTTTTAGAAGATGTTTCAGATGAAAGAGAGAATGTGCTCTTCCTAATATTTCAAGTCATGAATATGTTTTTTAAACGAAACGCAATTCATTAAATATTAATATTACTGCAATGAAAAAGTGTTCATTGAAATGTTCTCCATATACTGTGTTCATTTATGTACAGTTGAACTATGTTCAATTATCTTCAGAGATTTGATAATTTCACTGTGCACCTTTTTAGGTACAGTAATAACTATGAGGTCATTCAGTCAGGTGTAATACATCCAGGATAAAACGCAAATGGGTGGAGCTGCACATGGAGTTCACTGCATTTGCTCAAAAAGTGGGTTGTAACACTGTTAAAATAACGCCTTCATGGGGCAAAAATGTACTTCTAAGTACATTTTAAGAGTTTTGTAGTTGAATATAACATAATGAGGGGGAGGGCTACAACTCATAGATATTCTTTGCATTTAATGTCAGTCAAAGAACATCTAAGCTTATGAAATCTTAAGCTGTCTTTTCATTCGGGATTGTAGGATTATTTGTTGGAGTAGTTATTTGCACATTGATAATTTTTGTGTTCACAAGCAAACTATGGGGCAAAACTTATGTTGCATGTTAGGGGTGTCATGTGAGTAGTATTGGGAAAGAGCTCACAGGGAAGAGCCCGCCCCATCCTGGATTGCCATCTCGAGGATGCCGTCAATGCCATGTCACAAGCCATCATCCTCGCCCTCATCCTCGACTCTCCTGGCCAAATTCAATGTGTTGGTCTTCTTCACTAATTATTTCCACCAACGATCACAATGCTTCTTCTGGCACCGTTTGTGCCTCCTACACGTTTGTCTCAGTACTCTGTATACTTCTCCATGCATCATCATAGATTATGTTTCAATTTTCAATTATGTATTACATTGATGAGATTTGTAGATTATGTTAGAATTTTTAGAATTAGTGATTACCAAATGTGTGTGAAATGTCTTTTCAAGAGCAAAAGAGTATTAGGTTGTTAAAAAGCATATTCATCAGACTGTGCCGTAGTGCGGTCTGTAATGAATTAATTTGTGAATGAAATCATTTTGTTTTTGTAGGAAGAGCTGGTGGCCCCAGAAGCTGTGTTTATAAAAACTGAGGATCCTGAGGAAATTTTAACAGAAGAAGAGGTGAGTGGGTAAACATGGGGAGGGGGGGAGAGGGGAACCTTGCTGCAACATTATCACCGTGTGTTAATAAAGGCAAAATTGATACTAGCTTCATTGAATATAATGGAAAAAGTGGTAAAAGTAGGCATCTTTCATTTGTTTAGTGATAATAGGGAAGGAAGTATTGTATTCCAATATTATGAAAATCTTATAGTTGTACTGGACTATAATGCTGCACGGAGTCAGACAAATCTCCACATCTTCATAACTATTTCACCTATGAAGGTATAATGTCATGAAAATTCCTTTGAGTAATGTGGAACTCGGCATAAACATTGTATGAAAAATTAAGTACGAGATGGTGACACTGCTCCAAAATTTTATCATTTGACACAGAATGACCCCAGTAACATCCCTAGACATGTTCGAAAAAATGCACACAAAGTATCAAAAATGTATGTAGAAATGCTAAGAGCTAGAAGGTTGACATTATGCATTAAAAAAACAATGTGTTTATGTGATATTAGCGTAGTTTCACTTTTCTTAGTCGAATATTAAGTAAATTATTTAAAGTTATAGTCTGGATTTTTTAACACTATTTTCTGTGTGAAACTTTACGTACCCACTATGTATTAATGAAGGAAAAAATTATATTAGTTTCATTGAAGAGAATAGAAGTTGTATAAGTAACCTCTTTCATTTGTTTAGCAACAATGGGGAAGGAAATATTGTATTCCAATGTTGTGAAAATCTTACAGTCCTAATGCACATTGATGTTGCATGGAGTCAAACAAATCACTATATTTTACCTACAATGCTACAACTTCATGAAAGTACCTTTAGGACTCTTCATAAACATTTTATGAACAATTGAATATGAAATGGTTGTGCGAGGCACTGCTCGAAAATTTTACCAGTTAACGTAGAATGACCCCTAAAGACGCATACGAAAAAATGCACATTGTTGTGTAAATACAAAATATATTACCACGTGTTTTTATTTTTAATATAATTCTCAAGAGAGTTATAAACTTAAATACTGAAAAAAGTGTTTCTTTTTAATAGTTATGATGAAAAATTAATTCACTCCCTCAACAAACCACATGCCAACAGGGGAAACAGAACAATGTGTTCATTTTAAGAAAATACTGAATATCAAAGCTCTCTATTGAAGATTTCCTTCAATATGAAAAAAAGTCAAGTTGGATGATACTTTCAGAAGTTTTTTTTTTCCCTCTCATTTTCCCCTCTCTTAGATGGTATCCATACAAAACTTGAGAAAGAATGTTTCCAGCCATAAGTTGCCCAAAAACTGAGAAGTCAACAATTAGAACACGCATAATAAAATTTTCATATTTATAATTTTTACCTTCTTTCCAATTGAGTTGTGTTTGCCTCCCCCCTGTAATTATCACTTCAACTGTGAAATAAACAAATTGGATGAGCGCAAAGAAACGAACTTTGGTTTTAATGTAGTATACATATGCTTTTGCACGATTTGAATTTTTTTAAAAAGAGTTAAAGAGTAGTTTTCTATTAATAATTACAAATTTTACGTCATTTTTGCATTTAAAAAATATATAATGTGTATAAGAAAGAAAAAAATATTTGAGACAGAAAAAACATGTACTTGCAAGCTGCTTTCAAGTAGTATGATAATTTCTACCGGTGTCTTTGCATTACTGTTTCCTGGGAAGCTGTTGGTGAATTGCGTAAGTGTGATGATCCATGGCTGAATAGATAATACAGTGTGTATAATTTTACAATTGATTATGAATGAGGAAATTGACTTTCTTTAATAATTGTTTGTTTTCTTAAGCAAAACAAAAAGCAAAAATCTTGGAGCCCTCCCTTGAGACCGTTCTTTTCTTCTACGTGAGAAAAATTTGTTTTAACTATTATTTCTCAAAGTGTCTATGAGCTTCATTTTGAATTTGATAAGTAATAGACCAACTTGGAAGGAAAGTGCAGTGAAAATAAAATATCTTCATGATATCCAAATGTAAGTATTGAGCTTCCAAATTGAAAAGGAGGCGGCAAACATCCATGGACCTGGTGTTAAATATTGTGTTACGAGTATGTTGTGGCCATGAAGTGTTTGCAATGAGTGCTTTTAAAAAATCCGTCTGTTTTGTCCTTAGGAAAATCAAGAATATGATGAGGAAAATGTGGAGGACCAAGCTTGGAATTTCAGAGTGAGTTCTTTATTCTCTTTACAATCAGTAAAAAATTATTGTGTTCCTAGACATGAGGGAATTAGTAAATGACTTCATTTAATAAGAATGACCATGGTTTTCTATGCTAATTTTTTTAAACAAAAAGTACTGTAAAAAAGTAAAGATAAGAAGATGAGCAGCTCTAATTTTAAATGTGTACATAAGTTTACAATGTTAGAGAGAGATAGTAGTACTGCGAGTATTTTAAGCCATTAGGCGTGTCTCGCATCTCAGTCTAAGTCTGCACTGCAGTCTCTGCAGTCGCTCGCATTAAATTCTGCCACTGCAGTCTTCTGCAGTTGATCCTCTTTTAGCCATCGTCTTTTCCACTCATTCCTTCCGGATACTTCTGAATCTTCCAAGTCTTCTATGTGATGTTGGTTTTCAAGTCTTAGAGCTTTAGAAATCATCATTCTTCATCCATTCTGTTTAAGTGACATATCATTTGAGTCTTTTAATTTCAATGATTTCAATGATGTTGGAACTCGCTTCTGCTTTCTTCTAATTTCTTTGTTTCTTACTTTGTCCAACAATGTCAGTCCACAGCTTCTTCGCCAATAGTCCATTATTCTCATTTCCTTCAATATTTCTCTAACTTCAGGCCCATATGTGGCAATAGTCTCTATGATGGTCTTAATCTTATGGTTATAATCTTCTTTTAACATTCTTCCTCAGAATTTGATTACGTATTAAGGAATGCAATTGCCTTATAGCTACTTTCCCTTTTGATATTCAACTCTGAACATCTTGTCTACAACTCCCATTTTCTGCTATTTGAGTACCTACGTAGGTAATATTCTCACAGGATTTCAGTTCCGGTCCATTGAGTGTACACAGAACTTGGCATCTCCTACAACCAGATATTCTGTTTCATTAAAATATATTTCCAGCCCCGATTTAAGTACTCTTGATGAAGTTTTCACAATATATACAAAACATCATCTTCCCCTTCAGCAAAGATGACTTGGTTGTCTGCATAATTAAGAGAAAAGAGCATGGAATTGTCAATTTTTACTCCCAGATTGCAACATTTTCTCCACAAATTTTTTTTAAAGCTTCTTTTGAAAATAATTTAAACAGAGTAGGAGATATGCAAGACCCTTGCCATAAGCCTTTATTTACGGAAAATGGTTCTGAAAAGTTTCTTTCAAATTTAATGTGACTTACATTTCTGCTATATAGGTCTTTAACGGCTTTCAACAAATACTTCTTAACATCTTGTTCCTCCATTGCTATCCACAGTTTATTTAACTGAATCATCAGTTTATGGAACTGTATCATAAGCTTTTCTTAAATCTATGAATTTCAGGTGAGTTTCTAAATTGTGGGAAAGCTTTTGTTGATTACTGGTCTGACACTCAAAATATTATCAATACATGAGCACCCAGCTCTAAAGTCGCTCTGTTCTTCCGCATCTATATGATCCATTTCAAGGTGAAATTTTAGTATTTTTCCATACTGCCGGCCAATACTATGGAGCAGTTATGATGCCACTGTAATTCACACATTGTTTTTTGTCACCTCTTTGTATATGTTAGAAATGTAACCTTTTCTAAAGTCCTGTGGCAGGGTCTCTCCCTTAATACGTCTATTGTACAGTTGGCAGAGAATTTCGAAAAGTCCACGAGGTGTTTTTCAACACCTCTACATACACTGCACCTAGGCCTGCAGACTTCATTTTGAAATGTTCTAAGGGCCTTTCCAATCTCATTTACCATAATGTCTTCAATGTTATTCTCTCTATCTCCTATATTAATATTGTAAACATTGATGAATTCTTTTGTCTTCTTTCATCAACTCTTGATAGTATTCTTTCCATTGCTGTAGTCTTATAAGTTGAAAGGCTGAACATTGCTTCTCATTTGTTCTTTGGTTTTTTTATAAGTTTCAAAGACTCTCTAGCTTTGGTATTGCCAATGCTTTGGTCCATTGCTTCACATTTCTTTTCCCTAGTAGCATTCTCAGCATTTATAATTTCCTTTTTTGTTTCCTTTCTTATTTAATTGTACATCTTTTTTCATCATCGTCTTAAGTACTTAGCCATTTTCTATAAGCGTTTTTTTTCTCTTTTATTTTCGTTTCCAAAGAACTATTCCACCACATATCACTTATTTTCCATTTATCTTTCTGCTTCTCCAAGGCTCTCGTCAGCAGCTTCGTGGATAGCTCTTCCTATTCTGTCTTAGAGAGATTGGATAGTTGCATAATCTATATTTGATAGCTGTCCATTGAGTCTGAGTTTATAAAGAAAATTTATTGACAGGTCAGTTAGAAGATGAAGTTTATATTTTGAGATTTGTATGCTGGAAGGTATGTCTTGAATATAATTTTGTTGGGTTTTAATCACTAATGGAAGATACAATTTTGATCTCAGCAAATAATGATCCGAGTTGCATTCGGCATTCCTATATTCTCTGATGTCTTCCATTTTGGCTTTGTTGTTGTTACGTTTGCCAAGTATGTATTATTGTTCTTCTTATCCAATAAAATCCATATAAATTTGAGAATAGGAACGCAAGAGTGCACAAAGAAGTACAGGAGATTGATGGTCCACCCTGGAATCGTTGATTTGTGTATGTCATTATTAGTGTGATTTTATCAATTCATTGTAGAATAATACTCAACAATTTTATGAATTGAACTACAAAATCTTAGGTGATTTTCATCTTATGCTCTTTATCATCGCATCATGCTGAAGGGGTAGGGCAATCTGCATGCCCAGTCTTGAGGCCTGTGGAAAGGAAATGCAGGAACATAAGACAGGGAGAGGGTGGAGAATGTGGTTCTCATTGAAGGAAGAGTATGTTTGTGTTTGTGTGTGTGTGTGTGTGTGTGGGGGGGGGAGTAATGGAGGAAAAGGATGTGATACTCACGTAGGAATGATGTAACTGGGCAACGTAGGTCCTGTTATTGGTTTGTTTAAATTTAGTTGAAATACCATCATACACACTTATAAAATGTTTTCTAGCATACTGTTCAGGGTTTATTCATCTTAATATTTAATGTTTACAAAACTGTATGGAAGTATTGTCTGGGTTTGAAGACTAATAGTTCATATTTATCACAGTTTATGGAGTATGTTAATTCCGTTTTGTGGTGGATACAGAGCTCCATCTATTTCTCTCATTTGATTGGAATGCTCTTCAATCCTCATTTTGGTTTCATATTTAGTCTGACCAACAGAACTTAATTTCTAATCATTGCCATTTAATTTGTAGATTACGTTTTAAATTGTAATTGTCATGTTTTTTTATGATTATAATTTTTTCTTGGAATTTCACTTTTATTGGATTAAATATGTTGGAATTAGTCTGTGGTAAAATGGTGGTTTTGGAATTGTAATTAATCTCTTGGCAGTTACAGGTATTCCTTCCTTCTTTCTTGTTTTATTTGTTGTCTCTTGCTGGCATATTTATTAAGAATTTGATGAGGTAGTTATGGGTTCATTATTGTTGTGTTTAATTAAATGGAAGCTTTGGTTTGAATATTTGATTGACCAATCCTAAAGAATACTTACTTTCTGCTGGCAGGATAGTTTGATAAATAATTGAATGTACTGCAAATGGCTACCTCTTTTCTATGTCTATTTCTGAAGTTGTGCCTGTTATGGTTAATGATGGTAATGTCCATTATAATGTTACATCATAATTTATATTAAGTCTTTAGAATATATAGGAATCAGTGAAGAATAAGTTCACTTTTGGACAAATTTGTACACATTAGAGTCGTGTATAAAATCTCAATAAATTGATGCAGCTTCTGTTTTTTTCACAAAACTTTTTTTTTTTTCCAATTCATTTCTTTAATTTGATTTGCAGCCCTTATAATGTGTACTGTTATTGTTTGCAGGAAGGCAGTGACCCTTGCTCCTTAGTGACAGAAGAGAAGGAAGATGATCATGAAGAGGTGAGCTAGTGTCACCTGTAACTTTTTTATCTTGGAATCTTTTGAGACTTTGCATTATTTTTTGATGGTATGACACTAAAAATAATATAAATGTTAACAATAATAATGTTAATTATATAATTATTATTATTATCACTATTATTATTATTATTATTATTATTATTATTATTATTATTATTATTATTATTATTATTATTATGATAACATTTATATTGGAAGAGTAGCATGATGCGTTGTGGAGGAGACTGCATACCACACAGAATAACACAGACACTGAACTTTTGATGCTACTTAACATAAAATGTGAGACACAAAAAATGTTTAAGGAAATATGGAGGGATGAACCACTCCTCCATGGACGATATCTAAAAAGAATAGATAAGGTGCTGATCAATAAAGATTAATCATTTGTGTAGCTCAAAAAGGGAAGCCAAAGCCAAGAATGGGAAGCAGTTCTAATAGCTGGCCAAGATCAGACATTAAGAACATGACCTTATGATAAAGTGGTTCTCAAAATTTCCCAAGATGAGAAATGCTGCATTTGCATAAGTAGCAACCATTGATCATATCGTCTCAGCTTGACCAATTCTTGCAAATACTTGGAGACGTGGCAGGGTGTGTATTTATCTCCACTGGCATATCTGAACCACCCTCAATATTCCAAACACATGCTCTGAACACTCACCCAAACCGATGTCTGTTGATCTGTGTACAATATGTGTGATCAACAAATCCTAACTGACACACGATAGCAGAAAATAACCGAAATTTGGAGAAAAAAATAATGTCTACTTGATGTTGCTGTGCCATGTGATAAAAATGTCATAACCAAAGAGGCAGAGAATTATCTTTGGTGATTTTTCCTCTGGCTGTTCCTGATCAATCCATTTTGTGTTGGGTCTTTCTTCATTACTTTGCCCTATGGGTTTATACTTTAAAACAGCTTAAGGAAATCTTTCCACATGAGGAAGCCATCCCCTATGATTCTTTTTAATATCATCCACTATATTTTTTGATTTGAGTTTTTGTCTGATTTCACTGTTTCTTTGTTGATCTAAACGTGCTGGAAAAGTCTCATTTGCGTGGCTTCTAATCTGAGTCTCTTTGTTTTTACGGTTCATATTTCTGATCCATACGTTAGCATTAGCTTAGATGTTATGTTGTGAATTCTTAGTTTTGTTTCTGCAGTCATATCTCTTGCTCTTATCTGTCATATGGGCATTGCAAATATCAAACGTGTAAAGTGGTATATCTCATATTTACTATATTTTCAACATAAATTTCAGCTTGAATTGAAAATCACACGTATGTCCATTGGCATTTTCAAAGAGTAAATCCAGAAGAAATTAAAAGCCATGCATATACGGCAGTCCTATTAAATACACTTTTTAACAGAGCTGAGCTCTTAGGTATTTAAAGACAATATATATTTATAAACAAATTTGAGTTCATCCTGCCTCTGATTCTTCAGTTTTCTCGCATTCGAGCTCAGAATGCCACCACCGAGGCTAGCCCATGATTATAAACAGATTGCTAATTTCCTAAATATTAGTTCTCTCTTCTCCTATTGTGATTTGAATGACTTCTTGTTCTTTTATAATATTTTAAATAATGATGTAGATAGCCATACTTTACTTTCGAAAGTTTGTTGTATGATGAAGAAATTAGTTTGAGAAAGAACTCTTTTGTTCTTAAATGCTTCACTGAGTAGAATGTGCAGAGTAGTGAATAAGCATGATATTGATTTTGCACTATCAAATATTCCTTTGAAAACTAGCTAAAAGAGTGAAAGACTTTGTATAATTTTATTTTAATTTGTTTTGTATATTTGTGATGATATTAAATAAGGTCATTATATAAAAATGATGTAAGAAGATGTTTAATTGTTTTGAATTGAGTAATTGCCTGTTCGATAAATAAGTAAATAACAATCAATGAGTTATAATATGATTTTTTATGCCTAATGCCTACATTCTCTATGAAAAAAGGTGTTTTGCTTTACCGATATGTCTCAAAAACTTCATTTCAATAAAGCTATTAGGGGGCTGAAATATTGAGAAAACATGAAAATCCATATGTATTTTTTGGTATATAACCATTCAGGGAAGAAACCTAAATGATTGTCAATTTGGAAGTTCTTTAAATATTGCATTGCAACATATCCTGTAGGGTTATCCTTCTTTGAAAAGTATGATGATTATTAAGTGTGAGGATGATTGTTTTTGAAGATCTTTCTGCACTTAACGCTAAGGTAAAGAATTCTGTTGAGTCATTCAACTGTTTAGAGTCAGTGTTGCAGATCACTTTATTAACTACACATGCAATAAAGAGGAAAAATTTTTTGTATAAACTGTGTGACGTACTTCCTGATAGTAAGAGGACATAGTGTACTGTGTTTGAGTAATATATAATTTGCCATACAATAATTATAATATCATGTAAGCATTAGAGATTATACAAGAACATTCATGCTGGTTGTATTTGTAATGTTTGTCACACTTATACTCCACTTCATAGTCCAAAATTTTTCAGTTTGTATTCATATATCTTTTGCAGATAGAAGTCAAGCCACCTGTTGCAGTGTATCTGGATGCCCATGACGAGGAGTCCAATGAAGACATTGAGCAGGATCAAGCGGTAAGAATATCAACTGCCAACATAGGTAGTTTCTTTCTATTACTTGAGATAGCACTAGTTTAGGAATTGCTACTGTATAATTATAGCTTCGCCAGTGAGGTAGGCAGTTTTCCTTAGGGAGAGCTAGACAAGAGAATAATTGACATAAGTATGTGCTAATTTTAAATAGACCTTATAGCAATAAAACTTTAACATATTTTAATGATGCTGGAGATTTTGATATTAAGAACTTATTTAGTGTTAACTTACCTAGAAAATCAGGTATTTGTTATTCACTGGTAAGAGTTAGGGTATTTTTTTACATCTCTACAACAATTACTTTTGAAGTAAGAAAAAAGGCAAATATTGTTATCATTTAAGTGGTGTAGGGAAAAGGTCATTTGCTTGAAAATTCTGTTTTAAGGAAAGAGGTTTTGAAATTTGGTTTGGTCAACAATATAATGTTTGATTCTGCCAAATCTAGATTTCTCTTACCATGTACACTATGTTGCACTTGTGTTCTCATGCTTTCTGACGTAAACACACATTAATACTGTGTACCCTGCCATTCTATCTGTATATTCAAAGAGGAAATAGTAATTATGTGTGAGTTATTATTCTCAAAAATAATAATTACTAACACTCATTAATATGCATTGATTAAATCATCTGAATTAATCAAATTATTTATTGTTTGTTCAATTTATTTTAAAATGTGTTTTAAAAAAATGCAGGCAACATTAAAAAGATTACATTTTAATTTGCATGTACTGTATGATGTCAGGAGACACATGATTATGGACAAGATAAAATAAAAAATTATTGGAGTTGTTTGAAAGCGGTAACACTAATAATAATCATCTAATGGCATACTGGGGTCACAACAGTTATAAACTCTTCAGTCTGTCTCTTTTTTTATCTCATTCCAGTGCTTTTTATATCATTTTTGTAATATTTTTTTCTGAATTCTGAGAGAGGAACACAGACGAATTTTATCATCGTCATCGTTGTTGTCATCATCATCATGAAATTCCGGATAGAAAAATCTGTTTCTATTGGTTTGATTACAGTATTCTTGACAGATTCTTAGTCTTCCAAGTGTTCCTGCTGTTGCCACCTCTTTAGTAGTCTCCATCTCTGATCCCTATTGGTTTGTACTTCTAGATTAATTTTGGAAATATGTTGTTAGTCGTTCTCTGTAAATGATCATTCTATCTCTTCTACTAAACATATGGTTTTCAATTTCTTTCTGATGTCTTCATTTCTTAGTCTGTCTCTTCTTGTGATTTCCATGAAGTGTTAGAAATCTCATATGTGCTGCCTGTAGTTTTTGTTTGTCTCTCTCTTTCATTACCCAAATTTCAGAGCCATAAATGATTCTATGTTTAGCTGCTTTCAGTTTTGTTTCTGGGTCCATGTCTCTGCCCAAGTGTCTTTTAATTATTCCACAAATTCTATTGTAGTTAGTAAGTTTGTTTGCTATGTATTCCTGAGTTTGGTTGTATACACTTGCATTTCCAAGGTATAAAACATTATTTACTTGTTTCACTAATTTTCCATTTATAACTATTTTGCCTCTGCTTTGGAATATTCTTGGACCACTTTTGTCAATTCATAAACTGCTCTTTGTAAATTATCTTCAGAATCCATTATGATTGTTTGGTCATCAGCATACAAGATTGGGTCTATCTTCTTGTCTTCTGTGATCTGTATTCCCTGTCTAACTTGCCTTCTCCAGTTTCTTACTAAGTGATTACAGAATATATGTGTTGAAGAGGATGGGTGATAATCTACATCTTTGCCTTAAGCCACTGTTGGTTGCTATTGCTGCTGACTTTTTTCCCCTCTCTTTACTGTACTTTAATTCTTGAGTTCTTGTAGAGACTTTGTATTGCATTGAGCAACTGGTTTGGAACTTTCTCCTCTTCTAGTATTTCCCAGTTTCTGTCTATTAACTTTGTTGTAAGCCTTTGCATAATCAAAAAATATTATAAAAGTTTGTAGATTACTTTCCTTTCTTTTGTCTATTAACATCTTTAGTGCTTCTACCCTTTCTGAATGAACACTGCTCTTCTCTCATGAAATTCTCACATATTTCATTTAGTCCTTAGTATGTTTGCATATAGCTTAGAAGCTGTTGATAGCAATGTCACATTTCTTCTTTTCCTATTTTTTACTTTTCTTAATACTGCTTCGAGTTCTATATTCAGAGAGAGTTCATAGTGTCAGAGGTTTGGCTTGTTCCTTCCAGTACTGCTTTGGATCTGAGAGTTGGATTGTTCCACAGGGTGGGGTAGTGTTTTATCCAATTTTCATCTGGTATGCCATCGAATACGATTTTATCTTTCCCTGTGAATTTCATCCCTAAAATTCATATGTACTAAGATATATTTATATTTTTTGTGGAAAATTAATATTTTCTTTAATATTGAGCAAAATAATTAGAAAAAAGTAATAAATGGGTAGATTAATTAGTTTTAAAGTAACTGAGTGTTGTACTGATTGCAATTACATTGCCAATTCCAAGTGGTTACAACAGCAGAACAGAGTTCAGTTTGCAGCGGACTAGAGACAGGTTGTGATTTTTTTCTTATGAGTTCATGATAGAATTGGCATCATTTCCCAAATCTCAGATGATCTCCTCCTGTTACTAGATTTTATTGATTTTGTTGGTGTCACCCAATTCTTCAATTTTTTTCTCTGGACATTCAAAAATAAATGATAAAAAGTCCTAGAAAGGATTTGAGTTCTATGCAATTATTCTGATTTCTTCTCTAATTAGTCTTGTGTTCCTGGACCTTTTTTTGCCTTCATGTCAGAGACCAGCAGAGGATTTGGTAACCATCTTTTAAATTATTTGAAAATATTGGATGAAAATGCGTATGTCAACTTTGTCAAAAGTCTCCACTGTAGCATTATAATCTTATATTTGATTAATTCTGGTTTTTCTGAGTGTTCACAGTATAAGATTTCATTTGATTGAATCCTGTATTATATCTGTATTGTAGCAGCAAAGTAGACTTTTTCTCACGTGTACCACAAAGATGCTAAGTATTGCAAAGTAAACAAAACACTGAAGTGACATGAATCAACATGGCAACACCTTAGTGTATTGAAGATATCCCTAGTTCTTCTCTCATTCTTTAATTGATTTTTCTGTATCAAGGTCAAATCACTGTTAATTTTATTTCATTCAACACATTTATTCTTGTTTTTTTCAAAATTGCAAATAAGTATTTTTCAAAATTCTAGTAGAGCGATTCATGCCCATGTTAAATTTACCCGATCTGAATCAAATATGAATATCACCTATTTATGATACAAATTTCATTTACAATTATTATTGATATTATTATTATTATTATTATTATTATTATTATTATTATTATTATTATTATTATTATTTTTGTTGTTGTTGTACTTGATAAAATTGATAAACTGTGGCATAATGATGCATTTTGACTGACTTGATTTTCTTCTTCTGCAGGACCCGTTGGCATTGTACAATGACAAATGGAGAACAGAATTGGTTGGACCATCACAGTTTGAATCACGTCTTCATGAATGTTCTGTGTGTCAAAAGAACTTCATTCATAAGAGTCATTTAGAAAGGCACATGCGGGTTCACACCGGAGAACGCCCTCATGTATGTTCAATCTGCCAAAACGGCTTCTCGCAGAGAAGTTCATTAGATAGGCACATGCGGACTCATACCGGGGAACGTCCTCATGAATGCTCTGTCTGTCACAAGACCTTCATAGAGAGACGTAATTTAGATACGCACATGCGAGTGCACTCCGGGGAACGCCCTTATGAATGCACCGTCTGCGACAAGAACTTCACGGACAGAGGTTATTTACTTTTCCACATGCAACTCCACACTGGGAAGCGCTTCAATGAATGCTCACTGTGCAAAAAAAGCTTCACGCAGAGAAGTTCGTTAGATAGGCACATGCGAATTCACACCGGGGAACGCCCTCATCAGTGCTCCGTCTGCCTCAGGAGCTTCCCAGCAAAACGTACTTTACAAATACACATGAATACCCACACTGGGGAACGTCCGCATAAGTGCTCCGTTTGCAGCAAAAGCTTCTCAGATAGAGGTTATTTACTTTTGCACATGCGAGTCCACAGTGGTGAACGTCTTCATGTTTGCTCGGTGTGCCAAAAGAGTTTCATACAGAGAAGTTCTCTAGTTAAACACATGCGGACTCACACTGGAGAACGCCCGTATGAATGTTCTGTCTGCCACAAGCGTTTCTCAGAGAGCGGTACTTTAGCTACACATAAGCGGATCCACAGTGGTGAACGCCCTCATCAATGTTCTGTCTGCCAGAAGAGTTTCACTCATAGAAATTCATTAGTTTTCCATGTGAAGAACAGCAATTGTGAACGTCCCTCATGAATGAGCCAAAGAAGATTCACAAAGAGCAGCATTTTAGATAGACACATACATATGCACGAATGTTATATTTATTTATTTATTAATGACAGCTGTTGCAGCTGATACTTATGTATCATCTGTTAGTAAATCACATCATACACATATACATTCAAATTTAATATAAACTCTATCACAATTGGTGATCTGCTTCATCCAGTTGAAGAATGGTTTCCTCTTCATCAGAAGTTAATATGGTCCTGCCTCTCCTTGAAGGAGTCAACTGTCCTGGCTGAACACAATTTATGTGGGAGAGTTTTGACAGTTGACTAGCACAGTGCCACCAAGTGCTAGTCCTTTTATTATCCATCAGATGCTTCAGATGTCCTTGAAGTCTACTGACAATGGCCCTGATGAAGATTCCATTCAAGTTTTGAAGCTTATATTGGTTATTCTGGACCTTAAATGTTTCAACTGTATTGTTCCCATCTCTTCTTTGATGTAGTGTGGGGAAGCAGGTTGTTTTACAAATCTTATGACATGGGAGAATGTGAATGACATTACACATTATCACTTTGCCCAAACATGTAAAATGTCCGTAGGTAGCCTCACCATAATCCACAGGTGTGAAGAACCTGTAGGGATCTCCTACACAGCTGAGAATAGTGGAGTGCCCTCAAGAGTGGTGTACAATCTGTTGTCATGTTTCGAACTTGCAGTATCTGGAGTCTACTTTCAGGTAATTAGTAGTCAGAAGTCAACATCAATTATATATTGATCCACAATGACAATACAAAACATTTTTTTTGCCTGAAGTTACTTACCATCGTACCATTGTTCTAGGCGGAGTCTCCAGGCATGGTCAGAATTTTGTAGAAGTCCTGAATGCTAATCTTCAGAAAAGAAAGGGGTTCCTGTCTGTTCACGGCATAAGAGGCGTGATCTTTGAGGATTTGTGTTTTGTACATTTGATTGTGTAGTAATATAAATTGTGTGCTTAATTTGCCCTAGTTTTGTAATCATTCAAATCATGTCAGTGTGGTGCTTTGAAATGTTTTACTTACTAGATCAAAAGTGTACCGCCCATATGATAATTTAGTCTCATGCCCAGATTCATTTTCATGGTCTTAAGTATCTTATGTAGGTAAGCCTCTAAGGCTAAGATCTGTGCATGTTTCAGGCATATTGTAAGTTTAATCTTATAAAATCTAATAAAATTCAAGATTCATATTTTCTAGAAACAGGTAGAGATTAATAAATCACTTTATTAATTTTAGAGCTGCAGTAGAATGTATATTAACTAAGGTTTGTTAAGAGAAATGACAAAAGTATTAATGCAATTTAAAATTTGTCATTGTTATACTCCAAGAAGACAATAAACATTCATTATCAGATTGTTATACCATCATATGAGAAGAGGAAACCAGAAAATTGACTCCAGGCTCGGACTGTACCCAGGCAATCTTGAAATCATGGTGGTGGAAAGGTTCCTATAAACCATGTAATGGTAGCACATGATTGTAGGTGATTCTGCAATTGAATAGTAATATGTTTACATATGTAATATAATAGAATATCAATGTACACTATCTCCAGAAATCATGTTTTTTTTTTTTTTGTTTGTTTTTTTGTTTTTTGTTTGTAAAATGTTTTTTTATCAATGTTCTAATAATACATTTTATATTCAATTAACAGCCCTGATGGGAGAACAAAGTTCAGAAACATCACCAAGCCAAATTGTTTTATTTATGTACCGACTCCTCATTAACAATTCCTAATCAATGCCTTCCACTACATCAATGACCCCATCTTGATCAGGTTTTTGCCCAGTTTCCCTGATCCGTTGAGCAATGCTGAGACGGCCTCTTGTTTTGTTTCTAGATGTAAATCTAGCTTCACTATGCACACGTTTTGTTAAACTCTCCTTCTGCTTGTAGTGGTTGGAGTAGAATGTGGGGTCTTATTTTGTTAGCAGTGCAAAATCTGCCATTGATGCCAATCAAATCTGCCAGTCATTTACCAACGCAAATAAGTTTTATACAACTCGGGAGCAAAAACGTATACTTTTTTTTCTAAATGTCGCTTATTTCTCTTATTATTATTATTATTATTATTATTATTATTATTATTATTATTATTATTATTATTATTATTACTATTATTATTACTATTATTATTACTATTATTTTTATTATTCATGTATCAGCCACTTCTGACGATGCTACTCATTATCTTCCAAGATCCAGTCCTATTTTATCCTGGAGTGAGATTAACATGTGTCATGGGGATCAGCTTTTCAGCTGCATCCCTTTGTATAACAAGGTGTTAGACTATGAATTATGAACTGAGGCGATGAAGGGTGAAGGGACAATCACAAATACAACCATACATGAGCCGGACTCAGAGCTGCAACCACCTGTGCCAGCTTTTTTTTTTTTTTTTTTTTTTAATAATAATTATTAGATATATGTATTTCTATTTTTGTTATCTTTTGTTCGTCTTTTAACTGTTTATAGCTAATTGTTAGGAAGGGATTCTTGAGTTCAAGAAAACATGCCATGATGGTACTTCCCCTCTTATGTCATACAGTTTTTACTGTTCTTTGTCTAAATAAATCATATGTTTAATCTTATTTGATTGTTATAATTAAAAAAATTAGAGGAATATTTGAATTTCATACACAAACTCACAAACTATTGTGCCTGGTAATTAATGACTCATTTATTCTTATAGGGATTTTTGTAATCTAATTTTTAGGAAAACTATACTATGCACTCAGTGAGTGAGAACCCGCTGAGTCATTTCTAAATCTCTTCAAAATCTTTTTGTAATTTTCGAAAAATCGGGAATTTTAACGAAAATGAAGCCTTTCTTTTGAGCATCCTCTACCTATTCGTGGGCAATGTTTAATACAAAAATTGGAGCAATTTTTTCTGAATATGTACATTAGGCTTCTTGTAAGATACTCTCAAATTCAGTTTCAATAATCACAGAACGGCAACTCAAAATCGAGAATCGAAATTGGAACGAAGTCGATAGATGAACTAACGCCATATGGGCCATGGACACAGTCGATACCTTGAAATCGATCCTCACCTCCAACCAATAGTAAACCAGAATGTTTCACAGCCAATAGAAACTCTTATTTTGCTTACGTTAATGTCAGACATTGTGACTACATCAGTCTATCACGTGTTAATGTTTACGTCTACGCATTATGCTTATTTTTACGTTTGCATTGTCACTGAACCGGAGGATTACTCCAGTGCGCTCAACGCTCCTTAAGTTGCGACTATAGACGCAGAAAAAAAAATTTGAAATCCTACCTGCGCGTAGTAGAAATAATGCTCATTTGGAATGTAATGATATCAGTGAGTCGTCTTCTGTAAGTTGAATAGAATTACCAAAAAAAAAAAAAAGTATTAGGGTGGGGCATGGCCCCAAGGCTCCCATTCGGGAATCCGCTGCTGTTCAGTAATATGTTTTGTTTACCCTTAACATTTGTTCACGAGCCGCCCTGATTTTTAATATTAATATTTCATTGACCATTTACCACGCCTTTGGTTCATTTCTAGCCATGATTTGTAGCCTGAATGTGTTTTTTGGACATTTCACACCCGAGATGTTTCACCGAGGTGCTTATAATTTTTAAAACTCTCCTTTGAAAGAGAACTAACTGTATAGCAAAAAATTGCAACAGAAGTAGAAAGAGAGTATCCTGGCCAGTCTCATAAAAATTACTCATTTGCTTAAAACGCATGAACAATAATTTGCGCTAAAATGTCGACCAGTGTCATCGGAAGAAAATTTGTAATTATGTAATGGTTTAAGTGAGCCATATCCAACTAAAGAACTGATTTCGACGTCTCCTAAAAATTGTTGACCATAGTGTCGGATCGAAGTTTGTAAAACGCTTTCTGCTGAGTTAGCTTTCTTTATTGCTTTTATCTGGTGATGGTACATTCAAAGTGTCATTTCCAATTGATACAGAAACATCGCCCATTTGTTTGTCATCATTCTTTCGATTCCAAATTTTCTTTTATAACCTGACATCTTAGGAGAGATGCTGAAATTCTCATAGTCATCTTTTGTTTTTGAACATCTTTGGGTATCGTTTTTTAATACCTATTTTTGCTTTTCGGCTTCCTTTCCCAGTATTCTTTTTTTGTGCTGGTAACCAAATAGATTTCTTTTACCGCCAGACATTTTGGATCATAATCTCACGAAGGTAAATTAATGCTGAAAGTTTCCATTCTCACCTGGAACGGAAAAACAATTACTTAATTAAACATGCCGCTCTTTTAGGATTTTCTTTAAAACCTAGAATAGTAAATATTTTTTGCTTTATCGTACAACAGTATTACTACTCTACGGAACTGTAAATTTTTAGCGATAGAAAAAATCGATATGTGAAAATTTCTGTTAATTGGGTATTAACACAATATTTGTCTTACACTTGCTCACATTACCATACAGACAAAATACCGCCCCCAAGTTTGGCTCACCCGTAGAGCGTGTGCTGCGCATGTCATAAAGTCTGTTTGCGAGATTTAACACGCAGTTTGTCACCCCTGACAAAGCGTGGCAAAGCAAGAAGGGGCTTTCACATCGTTCATTTCCTCAAGCAATTGTGGGAAACAGAATAAAAACCTGATGGAGGTGGGGGTCATGCACTCAGGTGTGAAGTTTTCAGAGAAAGTTAAGGATTTTAGAATTATGCAATACAATTGGTATTTAATGCATTTATTATATTATTAATAAAGTACGTATTGTTTTCAGTTTTGATGGGTTCGGCCTTTAAACGTGTCATAACAGTAGACCCGCTGGAAAGAATTGAAACCGTTATTTGGTAGATGTAGCTGTATACTTCGTCGGTATACTTACCGATATGTGGCACAGTGGATACAGTGAATGGATGAATAACGGGTAAAGGAAAGCTTGCAAGCGAAATTGTAAGAACTCACTGTGCATAGTTTAGGTAGAATTTTACGTGGAGTATTGCCAAAGAGAACAAGCAAAAATAGAAATGGAAAACCTTGAAATTTTACCCGAAAATATTAAAATAGAAACGGTAGGTATTTTGTGTCAATTTCCTTTTTGGTGGAAACTTGTGGAGCTATTACATAACAAAATACTACTTTACCATAACATAAATGTGTTTTGTGTATTTTAAAATTGTCGTGTGGTTGATTCTTAAAATACATTGTTTACTGTCCAAGTTTAAAATTGAACCATAAACTTAAAGTCGTTCAACTTTACATTGTCGACATTAAGGGTGATTGAACTTGCACATTTGTCGTGAACGTAGTTCACCTGATTTATTATGTAGATCTGATTAAGGTCTTTCTCTTTCCATTCCCAGGTCGATGAACTAGAAGACCCTGCAGATGAGTGTACATTTAACAGTGCCGTTGTGAGTATAGTTTTACAGTGTATAGAGGCTTTATTTTAATGTTTGTATAACTCCCATATTCATTCATTTTGAGATATTGATTCCTAAAGTTAAATTACTTGGGAAAAAAGATCAGGGATGGAATTAGACAAATGAGCTGAAAAAAAGCTCAATAAAAAAAAAAGAAAATTAATTTATTTAATGATTGGCTCTAATTGTTTGTTGAATAGTTTTCCTGAAGTAAAGAATATGTGCTCTTTCTGTTTTTCCAATACATTAATATCAATAACACAATGAAAGGAGTTTGAAAAATTAAGAAGTCGTGCATAAAATATCTATGTTACTGCAATGAAAAATCGATCATTGAATTCATTAAAATGTTCTTGTGCCACATGCCTTTTCTCAAACTTGTTTGTGTTGTCAAATTTTAGTCAGTGTTGGTAGATCCACACCTTTGTACTCCTTGAACAGTTTTTTGAACTGAGTATGATGATGTATAAACAATCCTTTTTTGAAGCAGTGTTCAAAATGAAAATAATTTACTTTCCAAAACTGACATTATTAATATTGCTGCTGTTGCTGCTGCTCAAATTACCTTGACAATCTCTCATAAAGCACCTTAGGGCATCCAGTGACATCTTATCTCTATGAATATAAACAGTTTGAAATCTCCAGTGATTTTGTCATGTATTCTAACAGATTCAGAAATAACTTTTGAGTTGTAATGTACTCAGAATAAAGGCAAATAACTTGGCTGGAGCTGAACAAGGAGTTAACTGCAGTTGTCTAAACTGTGAATTTGTAACACTTAAAATAACACCTCCATGAGACAAAAATATGACTCTAAGAACAACTCAAGAGTTTTGTGGTAGAGGCAAACATCCCCTTGTACCTGACTCATGGATATATGCATTTAAGTTCTGTCAAAGAAAATCTAAGATAATGAAATCTTCATTTGGACTCTAGATTGTAAGATTATTTGAGAGAGTATTTATTTGCCGATATATTGACAGTTTTTGTGCGTTAAGTGAATTTGGGGCAAAACATACGGTCAGGAGGGAATTGTATTTAGTGTCATGTGAGAATGTTGTTTGTTTATATCTTGTTCATTTTATCAGTAAGGGGGACTCAAATATTTCTCACCCAGGATTAGAAGAAATATATAATTTGTTATTTTAATTCAAGAAAACTTATTTTTATCTACAACTGCATAAAAAAGGCAACTTCTTTGCATCGCTAGCCATACATGAAGTTCGTCATTTTTTAATGTTCATTAATAAAGATTGTTACCAAGACATCTATCTTGTTACCATGAAAAAGTATTTTTTTGCATGGATTTACATTCTCTTCTCTAATCGTGGCCCTGTGAAATGCATTTCTATATTGTCTGGGTATCAGTCCAATACAAGTTTACAAAACCTTTTGTATTATATTTTTATGCTGTTGTAGAAAATATGCTCACATTTCGTGTGTGAAGTTTTCATTTCTTTCACAGTCGAGATAGAGATTTTTTTGCAGAGACTGCAGGTCGAAAATGGAAACTTTACACACTTAATATGAAATTAACTATTATATGTTATGATTTCAGTATTCATTACAGTAGAACTTCATTAACACAGATCAATTGGAGCTGTGGCCAATTTGAGTTAATGAAAATCTGTTTTTCCAGAGAACGAGGGATAAACGATAAAAAAGAACATGGGCTAACCAAACACATTTTTAATGAAGTTTAAACATTACACTGTACATTGGTACAAAGTAGTGGGTGTCCGTAAGAAAGCACAGGGCATTGCTAGGAACACTTCCTCGCCTCCTAGTTTCCCATCTTGTGAGTGACCCGTTGCTGAAGGCTACGGGAGGGGAAAGAGAGGGTTTCCTGTGAATTCCTGATATATACATACTGAAAATAGGTATTTATATCAAAAACAAATCTTCATTTACTTTGCTAAATAACTTTCTTTTTTCTTCCAAAACTGGTCTGGGTTATCCGGACATCGGGGTTAGAGGTCTGCGTTAACCAGGTTCTAATGCACTTAATTGTTAATTAAATGCAGTAATGTTGTGCTGCCTTGGCCATTTTGTCTAGTATCAAATATATTTTAATGTCTACTTTTTTGTTGTCCTATAGATTTTGCTTAGTACTTGAACTGTATCTGAATTAAGTATGAGCTCAGAAATTCCAAGCAAACTATGTTTCAGAAAACATTTTAAATATTTCTCTCTCAGATTTTTGTTAATGTTGTTCAATTATGTTCAAATCAGTGAATAATATAGAGGTGAGTCCTGGAAGGGGGGGGGGGGTCAGCGGGTTCCAAGCCTTCACTAGATTGACACCTGAAATGTTTTTCTTTTTCTTTTTTTCAATCCAAATATATAAAACATGTATTTATTTCTGATTCAAACCAACTGCTAATGAAAGCTTGGAAGATTTAAGCATTAACTTCAAAATGAAAAGTGGTGTGATGTGCATATTTTATCATAATTTTTTCAGAGAACTGTTTAAAAGATAATTTTAAAAATGTTCCTGACATATTTTCTTCAATTAAAAAATGAAAGAAATAAAATATTTATTTAACTGTTGTTGAAATATAATTAACTTTCTATAAGACGGAAAACTTTTGTTTGAAATATAGGACTTCAATGGATGTACTGCCTCTAGCTTTCTCTGGGTGCTCCTGACAATATCACTTCGTGTGTAGGTTTCAAGAAGATGAAAATTGATTTCAAAGGCAATAATGGCTCTGGGTTTGTATTTTCTAGAATTATTATTTATTAAATAAGTTAACGAGCCTTTAAATTAAATTTAAATCCCTTAAATATGAAACTAACTTCATTAAACTTTTAAGGAATTGGGTTCACACATTTTCTGTACCACATTTCTACTGTTGATTATTTTATTTACTTTCATTGTTAATTAATTAATAGACATGCCCGAAATGTAAATTACAAAACTACCACACTGTTGTGCAAGCCATAATACATGTACATAGATCATTACAGACCAAGAGTGTAATTGCAAAACAATAGAGATAATTAAAATAGTAAAATTATTTGATAAAATTATTATACGATATAATTTGATAAATAAGATTATTTTTTATCTGAATAGCCGAGAACACTAAGTCTGAAGAGCCATAGCTGCCTCGTACCTGATGGGTCATGGTTTCGAATACCGCCCGGGGCAGGGGATGTTTGTGTATCCATATACCCAGGATTTGATATCTGTTGGAATGCAATGGAACAGCATTTCTGTACCTCGAGAACAATTATTAAATTGTATTTTAAATATATAACTATTTCTCTTAAATTAATTATTAATTTGGGGGCATTCCTGTACCTAAACTTTTATAAATCGAACACTGTGTAAATTGTTACCTCCAGTGTTACTGACAGTGGTCGCTACATGACCTTAAAAAAGTCCAGTTAATTAATTAAACTTATAAATAGCCGGCTTGGGCAGGTTTGAGTGAACAGAAATTCAGTGCTTTCAATATAATTTCCAGTGATGCCAATCTGGCATGGCAATGTACTGATAAATTATAAAAAATATTAGTTCTACCACAGTATACAAATTATATTGATACATATACTGTGGTTATACATTCGAGTTTTAAGAGTAACAGTGCATTTTTGACAATTGTAATCAGTGGTGAATAAACATTAAAAATAATAATTTTTAAACTAACAATAAATTGGAGGTAATCTTTAAGAAAAACCTTTGTGTGATGACTTCTTTACAAAGATTTTTGTATATTTTAATTTTTCTTTCACAATTTTAAGACTATTCCATCATGTAATCTTACATCGCAAATATATTCACTTCTTTTATTGATTACTTATCATTAGATGACGTTCAGGCAGACGTTAGACTAAAATAGGCAGACAAAGGCATTTATTCTGGCTAAAGAAGGGGGTGCTAAAAGGCATGTAAACATTGAAAAAGTACATTTAAAAGGAATAATCGTTAAAAGTTAATAATTAAAATTCATGTTTTTATTCTATCTCTAAAATTTACATTAGCGCTTACGTGAAAAGAAACGTCATTTCTTTGTAATCTTGCACATGTCCATCCAGTAAGATATGTACGAATTTGTTTTACTCTCCCGGCTGCCTTTATTAGTTCGAAATGTAATTGTAGACCTCTTTTTGAATCTTGAAGTGGCGTCAGTAAAACAGACTTAGTTTTCGTTTTTACTTGTGTATAACCCACGAATCAAGAGTACATCATATACAGAGAGCGCTGTCCTCAAAAGGGATCGGAGGCCAAACTCAAATTTAAAAAGGGGTTTCTCGTGAGTGAGTAAAGCCTGACGACATCAATGAAAATAAAAATAAAAAATCTGGACTGGTATTGTCTTTTCTCATTAAGTTTTTAACACTGCATTGTTCTGGAGCCTCCACTTTTACAGAAAGACAAAACACAACCATGCCTTCGTGTTGTCCAGTGTTGCAAGCATATCTCCAGCTTGAACGAGATCGGTCTCAGGAGGAAATACGGAATATAACGAAAAAGGCGAAAATAAAGCAAAAACAATAGGAAACGAAGTCAAAATGAAAATCTATTAGAACAACTGTAACAGTTCAATTCGAGATATCTATTGTTAAGTCAAAATCGTAACAATATAAAAGGCATTTTGCCGAACTTCGGGGCTCTGCTCATCACATCAGACGTTGCCACACCAAATATCGTTTAATAATAAAGAAGCGCCCATTCTCTGTTAGAAACCAGCTTCATTACAGAACTTATTTAAGAACAACGGAGCAACGCATACTGTGTGCCTAGTGCATTCTATTTGTCCTATTTTTGAAATGTCTTCTTTTTTGTCATTTTTTCCTTGTCTCCGACAACATGCGTATGTTGTAAACAGAGAATATTGCAAAGCTGCAACGGAAAGTGGCGGTTTTTCCAGAATATCTCATATTGTGGGTCTCCGGAATCGGAAAAGTAGATAATTTCTTGCTCGAAATCGGCATTCTGCGATCGATCTGGCCGAATTTGAGAATGCTATTTTTATTTTCGTGATACTTTTCACAAAGCCCCAACATTTTAAAATATTTCTCAAAAATAGCTCAATTTTTTAAATCTCAAATACTCTTTATGATAAGCTCCCGATTGGATGACAACGTCAAAGCTGACCAAGTGTCAACGAGTTTAATGTTTACGAATATCAACTCGTTTCGTGTTTTATTCCGACAAAGTTTGTTTAGTACGTGCGAAGAAACATGCGGTGCATGACTCAAACAAACATGGTGTATGCAGTTTATTCGTTCTTTAAGAAGGAAACAAAGAGGACACCCGATTTTCGGAGTTGCCAAAGTTGTACAGCGAACAGTGACAGCTTGTGACCAGCTTGTATAAAACGCTCTGTTCCGACATCGTACACAAAACTGTTGGACTCATTTTGAAGACTGCCAAAGCTTCTCTTGCTGTTTCGGGATCCTTGCTACTGAAATCACCCTGGAAACTGCAGGAAATGCGGTAACAAATCTGGACGACTTCGACGAAACGGTGGTGCGATGGACTGTATTTGAATTTTACGTCAGATGTAAAAACCCTACTGCATAACAAATAACCCGGAAATTGCCCTTTATTTATTTTAATATACCCATCATTTTTATTTTACCTGCATTTCTATCGTTCTAATTTTTTTCTCTAGTCGTTCTTTGACCCCCCCCCCCCCCCGATCAACCACTGTCCTGGGTTCCGACCACGTCATCTCCACTTCCAAACCCCTCGCCCCTGGCCCATTCGATTTAACCCTCGCGAAGGCCTTTCCAGATATTATGCTTGGATTTAAACATAACTGCATTTCGGTACATCAGCTGGTGCATTTCGGTGTCTTCAATTGGGAGGTTGAACGCCACTGGAGTGACGTGCAAACTCCCCAATGGATGATACCGTAACAGCTGATTTACGTCTAGTGCAGCTCTAAATAAGTCGAAGTATAGGGGTCGCCCTTGAATTATGTAACGATAAAGAGAAAGGAACGGGTTTGAGACAGCGTTACGCTGCGTTACGTGATGGTAAGGGGTATTCGATTAGTGTTGGGTTACATTAAATTTTTTTAACATTTGTTGAAATACTTTTTTAGTCTTATTAAAATATTATCTATTATGTTTTAAAAACATAAATAATTGAAATTTATTGGACGTCATTGAAATAATAGAAATATCTTTTTCATCACATTTTTTATCGAATTTGTACGATTTCGAAGAAAATATTCAAACATTATCTGTAGCATTTTGTGGAATGCAATTAAATTGGCGCAGTAGACTCGCCCTAGCGCCATCCTCAACGGCAGCTTGTGATCAGAAATGTTCTCGTCTCTGCGACCTCCCTTCACTCAATACTCGCCCCCACTCCTATTGCTAAGTGAAGTCATTATTGCCAACTAATTCGACTTTAATTATCATACATTTTAATGTGCAACGCCAATAAAATGAATACAATTTTTGTTTACCGTGTGTGCTATAATTTATTTTCACTTCTTGCATTTACAAAGGGGGGGAGGAATTTGTGCAAGCATTGCGTAATTATTTAGGGGGGGTTCAAACACGCGTTACGGGAGGAGAGGGGGTTCTCAAAATCCTCCAAATTTGCGTTACCTACGTAATTTACGGTACCTTAGATCCACCGTTGGTCGCAACGCCTCTTCTGTCGCCTTTTGCGCCTCCTACACATTTGTCTCACTCTGCTCCTCCATGCATCATCATAGAATACGTTTCGATTTTTATTATTTTAAAAAAATGTTTTGTCTTTAATTGGCGCAACGCGTCTCCAAGCCATGCAGGGCGTTGAGCGCTTTCCGCTTGTGGAGTAATCTTCCGTTAATGTTTCAACGCATCCGTCACGACTCATCGCAGTCAGCTGTCGAGAGGACCGCCAGGTAGCATCTCCGCGTCTGCGCCTCCTGCTACGCGCCCCTGCGTCACTACTCAGCGGCCTCAATTGGGAAGGAATTAGGGTAGTGGTAGGGGTTGGACTAGCCCCTGAAGCATTGTAACTCGTTTTGTCATAACATTTCACAGATTCTACGGAAATCGAACGCGGAATGTCAGTGGCATGCGACTTTACCACTGAGCCATGATAGCATTGTTTTTATACAGATATTGCATTATTTATACAGTGGTCAGATCCGTAGATTTGTTTGTTAGGCTTTTTAGAATGAGTAATTACCATATAAGTGTGAATTGTCCTTGCAAAAGAGTATTAGGTTGTAAAATAACTTGTTCATCAAACTGTGCCTTAGTGAAGCCTCTTTGATGAATTAAACTTGTGAATTAAATCCTTTTGTGTTTGTAGGAGGAGCTAGTGGTCCCAGAAGCTGTATTTATAAAAGCAGAGAAACCTGAGGAGTCTTTGACGGATGAAGAGGTGAGTTGGTAAATAATTTGCGAGGGTTTATGAGGAATATCTTGAAAACAAAATCGAAGTAATGGTTTTTTTCTTGGCATCGGTATATATATAATATATATATATATATATATATATATATATATAATATATATTATATATATAATGATATCGAATTGTAGTTGGTATCAAGAAATCACATTTTGGGAGGTCTTGATCTTGAATGTGATTCATCTAATTCCAGTTACATGCTAAACTCCAACTTACGAAATTAAGGATCAGTTTCTTTTTAAAAGTGTTCTGTGCAATCCCATTGTGATTAAATCTATTCCAGGAGGAATACAATGGTATTCTTGGCCTATAGGTGTATTTGACCCGCCCCGCCCGCTCCGCTTCCGCCAACTGCCGCTCACGCGCCCCGCTTGGCCTAAACTCTCACCCGCGCCGAGCGATCACGGCCAGCTCCGCCCCGCCCCTCCGCTCAACTCCGACAGCCCCCACTCGCCGCCAACTCCGCCCCGGCTCCACAACATGCAGCCCCTCCCCAGCCCCGCCACAACTCCCGCCGCCCGCCCAATCCAACCAGCATACCACTCACCAGCCCCGCCCCGCATCCGCTTCGCCCGTCTCCGCTCCCGGCCCCGCTCCGCCCAACTCCGACCCGCTCCGCCCAAAACTACGACCGCCCCACTCCGCACAACTGCCGCCGCCTTCTGGCCCCAAGCTACGGACCGCCCCTCGCCGCCCCGCCCACCCAACTGACGACCCGGCTCCGCCCAAATACGACCGCCCCAGCTGCCGGCCTCGCCCCGCTTCCAGCCCGCCCCGCACAGACTGCCAGCCGCCCGCTCCGCAAGTCCGACCAGCCCCGCCTCCCCACTCCGCCCAACTCTGGTTCCGCTCCCGCCCAACTCCGCCCCGCCCCGCCCAACTCCGCCCCGCTTCACTCGGGCCCGCCCCGTCCAAATTCCACTCCGTCCCGCACCTCGCCACCTCTCTGCGCCTCGTCTGTCCGCTCCGCCTCGCTCTGCTTCTCTCCCTCCGCCTCCCCTCCACGTCCGCCACTCCGCTCCGCCCCATCTCTCTCCTCGCCCTTCTCCGCTCCAGCCCACTCCTCTCCGCCCCGCTACTTCCGCCCCACCCCATGAACAGTACACCTCTGTTTATTACCTGGAGTTCAATATTGTGTTGTGGCCTTGAAGTGGGTGCAGTGAATGCTTTTTAATAGTTCTTGTCTGTCTTGTTCTTAGCAAAATCAACAATCAGAAGATGATGTAGAGGACCAAGCTTTGAATTTCAGAGTGAGTTCTTTATTCTCTTTACAGTCACTAAATAAGGATGTTGATTTTGTTCGTAGATGGAAGGGAATTAGAACTAGTGGTGCTACAGAATGGCACAGACTTTCCCATATTAGTTTTCTATTTGCTTTGGTCTGGGCTAGCTATTCAATCTTGCCACACCCTGTT